GACCAAGAAGAAGAAGAAGTTTTTATTCTTCGCCTTCTACAGGGTGGCTGGAGACTCAACAAAGCTTTCAGGTATACTTATTCAGTTTAATTTGTTTTATTTTGTATTCCTCTGTTCATATGGACACATAAAAAATATCAAATTCTACATTACATTTCAAAACACTGTTAGGAAACATGGTACAAAAGTTCAAGGTATTACTTTTGATTACGGCAGAATAAAATTTACGCTAAGTAAAAGATTAGCGTTTTTGTTACCGAAGTAGCCACGCAGCCAGAAGTTAAATGCCAAGACACCGCAGCTGCTATGAGGAGGTTAGAGAAACTCTGTTAATCCGATTTTTGAACTGCCTAAAGCTTGTAGAACTGAGAAAAGCCTCCTCATGCAGATTATTCAATTATTTCGATACAATTAGGGACAAAGTAGTCGTATCGGCCAGTTCTGGATGTATGAAGTTCGACACGGTTAGGATGGGAGGCTGACGTTGGACGGGCTAGGTAGGTACATCGCGCAGAGACATCATGAAGGAGTGTTCTGAGGAGCAAAGCCCGTTGACGTAGCGGTAGAAGAGAGCTAGATCGCCGACGGCTCGTCGGTGAGAAAGACTCCTGAGACTGTCCGTTAGAGAAGAGTCCTCTGATCAGCATGGATAATGTTGTCGGCGCGGCAGCAACACAAATATGTGAGCAGTATTCAAGGCTTTTTCCCAGCAGTTGCTGCTATTGGCAAGATATGTTCATGCCAGATCATGCCCTCGGTGATCCGGACTCCGACCGGCCAAAATAAAGGGCCCTTTTGTAGAACTAATGATTGCTAATGAGCACTAAGCGACATCGTGTACAGTTGGTTATTGGAGATGGAAACCAGCCAGACTCTGTTAAGCCTGTATCTAGTATATGCAACTTTTGCATAGAACGTCAAAGCTTGTAGCATGGTGAGTACTTGGTATTCTCCTGACTGATGACACGACGATGTGGTTGGCAACACTTTATTGTCTGGTTCATTTGAGCGGGCTGTCAATTCAGGGATTATGAGAAACTATGATGTAGGAGTCAGTAGTGCCGCTTTCAGTGAACTACTTACATGTGGCAGTGTCACCTCTTCGACTCAATTTGGAAGAGTGTTAACATATTCTGTGACAACTTGTGTAACGGACAGTTAGTAATTTCGGCAATGTCAAAACAATTTTCTGAGGGAAAGCAACATAAAAGCGTCGGCGTCGTGAAAATCTGTATCAAAAGAAAAAAATAACGACCTCGTGCGGTCGTATCTTCCCGAATACACCAACATATATCGTAAATGTCAGTGACACGCAGGGTATTTTCGGCGGAAATATATTCCAGTTGGAAGGTAATTACCTATCAGAGATAAAACAAATGGGTGTACAAGTAGAGCGCTTTGTGTGTTTTAGACAACATATAGGTACATGGTTACCAGGTGTTTGAAAATGCGCTGGCTGTTGAATAGAAACCAGAATTGTGGAAAATTGAATTAAGATTGGCTCGTCTGAACCGATACTTTAAAAGGACTGTAATGCCGCCTGCAAGTAATGGCATGATCGAGTAGATATGGAAATAAAAGATTTGCAAATCAAAGCTCAGCAAGTAACTGTTGATTTACGCTGCTTGAACAAAATTTAGTACTTTTGTTTGCTGTTTCACCACCCTCGTAAAAAACTGGTTTACAACAATGCAAATATTTTTACCGAAGCAGAAGCCTAAACATCAGGGCACCGTGGCTGCTATGAGGAGCTTAAAGGTGAATAAACACAAAACATGATGAGTAGCTTTCAGGGGTAAATTGTGTGTTTATGACAATTAGTTGCTCATTACTTTGAAACACCTAAGCGTCTTTATGATGATGAACTCCTCCCGGGAATTATGGTATTGTGCTTGGGACTTAGTAGCTTATGTAACGATATGTGTTGCTCTGACCAGAAAGTACACTTTCGAAGGGCTGCAGGGTTATCCCAATAGAACAGATCTCGTTCTCGTCGAACATTCTTTTTTTCTTCAGTAGGATCAGTAGAGGGATTCGAAGGTTGGGGGTAGTTGGGTTAAGGGTGGCGGTATCATACTCCGTCAGCGGTGCGTGTACAATAACCAATCACATGTAAAAATTCACAATATTGAAGAAATCTTAACAATGACCATCTCCAGGTATAATGAAGGGTTGTAAAATCTCGACATTGCCCACCGAACTATTTCAAATACACCAGTGAAAATTTTTATTATCTGATTTCCCATTGGAGAGGTACAAAATGAAAATCTCTGGATGGTGCCATTAAATATTCCCTATCAGATTTGAGTCCAAGTATCGAACAGCCGATAAGTGAGGTTCTCCGTAACCTACCCGACGAACTCCGAGGTTTTATAAGTGTTAGCAGATCCTTGATATTGAGAAGTTTGGCATGAATTGCAGCGAACATCTATCACGTTGATGCCTTGGCTATTACGGAAATTGTCATCAGTTGCTGTTCTACTCGGCAGACATCTATTCCAAGGCCAAGCAAAGGAGCTTTGTAAGTTATTGGTAAACCCACGTATCAAATACTCGGTATAGAAAGGAAAAATTGGTGAAGTGTAGTTCAAAACGTCTCTTCCATTAGTTTATATATAGTTCTGGCCTCGCAGGTGGTTGGCGTTGAGATGAAAAAGTGATGAAATTTCAGTGCTGAATAAACCGTGCAAAGCTCTGCGTGTGACTATCAAGTCCCCTCGTAAGCGTCTATCGGAGTAGTGAATTAAGTTGAATAGGTTCAGCATCTCCTCATAATAAAGTCGTTGGGTACCTTACGCGGTGCGTGTAGCCCTCCTCTGTATATTTGCTAACAGGTACCTGCCACTTGGTAGCGCTTAATGCCAAATGGGTCCAAAAGTAGAAGTGTCAGAGCCCTCTTTTGATAACGTATAGACTCCTTTTGACCTTAATGTTTGAATATTGGATATGCTCGGACCATGGTAGGGTATCCAACACAAAAACTCCTAAATCTATGTGACTGAAGACAGAGGAGGTTTCCTGGTACCCGATGATGTAATTGATCTTGAGATTGTTCTCTCCAATGTGTAGAATACAACACTTCTTCAAGATGAGGAGCAGCGGCCACCTTCTGTACCAAATATAGAGGTCGCGATGAAAGATGTTATAATAGGCTCGGGTGATATCGTATATCTTTGGGTTGTCAGCATACAAGGAGCGGGTGGAAGATATAACATAAGGCAGGTCCGATGTGAATAGCAGAAACTGCAAAGTTTTCAAGACGAAACTTATGCTAGTATCTCATCACCTTTGCTTGCATCTCAACTTTCGTTCGCTTTCAGTCTCTGTCTTTATGCTACCACAATTGGCATATCCTCGTTCTATAAAGAACATTGATTTCAAGGTGTTGACATGGTGGTTATAGTTAAGCAATATCTAAAGCCACTGACTGCTTGGCCGAGTTCACTGGGAGCGAAGTCCACAGGGATGTAACTATCTAGTGGTAGCAAAATTTGTGCAATAGGCCCAGTGCGCAAAAAAGGGTGTGGTCACAAATTCAGCCAATAGGAAGGCATCTTTGAACTAATGGATCTAATGAATATGATCGATTTCTTGTAAAATGTCTCTCAAACTAGAGAGAAGGTTTGTGTAACATAGGTCGCTAATACCCATATTTAATCATGCAATACGTCATAAATATCCACTGGTTCAAATACCAAATCTTTGATCATTTGCTTCCTGTCACTAAATTAGCGGCCATGATCATATAATGCACCAATGAAAAAGAAGCATTTGCGCCATACTCGAAGCATGGACTCAAACCTAGATTGATATAACAGAGGTTAGATTTATATTTTATGGAAGATAACAGTGTCCCACTGTTGCTGTACAAAATTTTACTTGTTAAATTGTTCAAGAACATAAATAAAATTAGAAAATGCTTACTCTTTAATAAACATCGAGTAAATATTAAATTTTCGTGACTAATGTCCGAAAAACACTATTCCTAAGCCAGCCCTGTTAAAAGGAAGCTCCCGTGCCCTCTACTGGGCTGTAGCACAATCACTTCTAGCCTTGCCACCGTTACCGGGGCGCGTCGTGGTCGCGCAGTCGTTCTACCGTCCAGTAGAGCCCGCGTCATCTCCCTGCCGACGTCGCATGTCCCTTTTTTTCAACAACCTTTCTGTAGGAGTACTCTTAATACTTTTTATCTGATTGATTCATATTGTGTGTATAGCCATGACTGAAAAACAGTGTTATCAGTTCCTTTTTTGCGCAATTTTGAAATGCAAACAAATATCTTTGATAACATACGAGTATAATTATGTTATCCTAGGACATCAGAAAACGATGCTAAACAATTTTAGTGATTTGATTGTCAATAGATATTGTAACATTGTTTTTAAACAGTGCTAGTCAGCTTATGTTGTGAACACGAGTCGCTTTGGAAGTGATTCTTCAACTAATACCGATCTGGACATTGAGAAAAGTGTACCGTACAATACCGTTAAAACCCATACGTTAATATGGAAACAGTTTACCGACTTCTACACGTCAAAGAAATACGAGTTTTTGGAAAGCACAAGATTAGAGCAACTAAACCTAATCCTGAAAGATTGGGCGTGGAATATGAAGAAAGAAAACGGTGAAAATTACAAAGAACTAGTTGTGAAGACAATGTGGAATACCGTTGCAAAAAAATGCAAGAGATGCATTTTATGAAGTGGAAAATAATGTTTGATCCATCTAAAGGTATTATCTTTGAGTCTAGAAGGGAAGCTCCAAATTCCACTATGGGACGAAGACACTCCTGCGAAAATTTTACCACAGTAGAACTTGCCTGGAGAGGTAGAGAAGCTGTCGATTGCAGAGTTCATTATTTTAAAGAGGAAGTGGATAATTCTGGGATTAAAACCAGTAGATAACATGGTTACATATTTTTTAAAATAACTAATTATCATAAAATTCTACTATTTAGGAAGGGTAGAATATAATCGTCTCTTCAATAAAACGGCCAGGGTGGAGAAAAAAATGGCCGATATTAAATGACTGGTCTCCAGCACGTAGAATCCTATGGACTAAAGAAGCAGAAGAGAAGGCAAGATTAAATACAAAAGAAATAAAAATAACAAATCACTCTATACGTTAGACAGCAGTCAGTAACCTGGCGAAAGCACGGGTGGGTGAACATCAATAAATTAAAATTACTGGCCAAAGTTCAGCCAACTCAATTAAACCTTATCTGCAAATGGATAATGAGCATTATTCCAACATCATACGCACCCTTAGAAGTGACGCCTCAGAATCTCTAGCTAAAAGACAGAAAATAGAAGATCCTGCAGCCACTCCTCGAGGTTTTCACTCTACAGCTGGACCCATCAACAACATTAACGGTTTACCTACACCCAACGTTATTAATGAGTTAAATATTTCCAACAATACTCCTACTGTGTACCAAAATTGAAGTTTATATTTTAATTGTACCATAAATAATGAAGTTTGTTGTATTTTGTGATTAAATAAATTACCGGTTTTTCAGTTTCCAAATTATTAGCTACATATTTACAATGTATGCATGTATGATAGGTAGTATGTTTTGTAAGCTGGCGGGTATACAGAATAATCTGTTACTCATGAAATAGTCTTGTCAAGTACCATTCGGGCATCTAATTTTTTTCTGTGAAAAAATCGAAAAACCCAATACAAAGTAATATTTTTTTTAACAAGTAGGGTGAGTGCTGGTGGCTACAAAAATCCGAGTCGAAGTCGAGGATGTTTGCACCTGCACGAATATTACTTAGTAACGTATTTTTTCGATTTTTTGTTTCAGAAAAATTAGATGTTATATGCCCTTATATTACTTATGATTATTTCCTCAATTGTAACTTGCTAGCAGCTTGGTGATTACTTGTTTCCTTATCACTTCCTCTATTCAAAAAGTCTTCGCTTTTCTTGAAAGCCTAAGGGGGTTCGAAGAAAATCAACGGAAGTTAAGGAAGTTGATTATCTACTCGATGTTTGTCAAAGAATAAGCATTCCGTAATTTTATTTATGTCCTCAAAGAATTTATTAAGGGGAACTTTGTACAGCAACAGTGAGACGCTGTTATATTAAATAAAATGCCCAGTCATGGCGTCATGTCAATCTACTATATCAGGTTCTATCCGTTTTTATTGATGGAATTTGCGTAAACTTTTGTGACCAGGCGCAAATGAAAAATATTTTTTTTGTAGCAGAATCATGTAACATAAGAAGTATTTCTTGATTTAATATGAAAATTACGAACCAATCACAAATCGTATAATTTTCCCCTAGTTTGAGAGACATTTTACACGAAATCGACCAAATCTATTAGATCCATCGCTTCAAAGCCGCATTCTTATTGGTCCAATTTATGTAAAAGGTGCAAAATTTTGATTTGCGCCGGTCAATAATAAAATCGGCCCGTAGGGTCAACTGAGGCCTGCTATAGAAGCAAATATTTCGATTCCATCATAAATCAAAAGAAATTATCCATCTAAAATTCAACTTGATCCTGTCTTCAAATCGACATTATGATATTTTCATTAATATCAACAAGCAAAAGCATATTTACCCCTAGGTGGCGCTACCAACGGATACCCAGCGAATAAGAAAATCCCAAAAGAATACCATAATGTGACTTAGGTTATCTTCAACACATACTTCATTATATCTAGAAAGGAATATCTAGCATTCGAATGTTTTCTCAACGAAGTAATGACAAGTTTCAGAGCATTTACAAGGTTTGGCACCGCCGCCTTCTCAATTAATGAAATCAGATTTGGAGACCGAGCACATACGTTTTCATTAAACTCCAATTACAGATCGTCAGGTTCTAAATGCCGCAAGTTCGCTGACGAACGACTGCCGGACCGTGGCTTAAGTTGTTTACCCGTGGATTTACAGCACGTTTTAAATGTTGTATCCTTTTAAAAGTAATGGATTGTAAAAGTTTGGCGAGTCTAACGTGTAAATAAGCTTTGGATGAACGTTCGCTCCAAAGCGAATACTGGTGCTAGGTTTTATTGATGCGGATTCTGCTGGGCGGGATGGGAATGTAAACTGCACGCTTGGCACTTTACTCGGCCTGTCAGCTTTAAGCTTGATCCGTATTTATGGCGGGAGTGTACTTAGTAATTACTTTTGGTAACGAAAGCTGGGATATACGTAGTTAGTTTCTTTACGTTGTGAGCTGTCCCATTTTTGCATAGAAAGAAAATATCACACAACACATGATAAAGACGTGCCAATATTTCTAGGGTAGAAAGCACTAAAAATAACAAGAAAAATCTCATGAATATGGGTCTAAAGATGCTCCCCTACCGAGGAATCAGGGTGATGAAGTTTTATTTACGAAATTGAATATATATATATATATATATATAACTTGAGACGTGGTCATTGTCGTCTAGACCAGTTAGGTGAAAAATTAAAGCTTCCGCTTTTTGTTGGGTACTTCGACAAGATTTAAGCACTCAAAATATAATAATTCTCTCCTCACGATTTATTAATAATTGTTAATTTAAATTCCCATTAATAATAATATAGTTTATTCAACTGCCTCTGGTCGGTTTAACAAATTCCATCATAAAATTCTGAAAATCTCTTCATCTGAAGTGATTTGGCAACGTTTTTGGCACACGCCCACAATTCGTTCCATCTTTCAATACTGACATTGACATCCTTCGGCCTTCTGTCAAAGGGTTTCATGTCACTCATCAATTCATCATTCCATGACCACTAATTTGTGCAATCATCAGGTGGTTTCACGATGTAATGTTCTAATTTTTTAAAAATTTTTTAAAATAATTTTTAATCTGTTTTTAACGTGTTTCTGTCATGTTTTGTATAAATTTTGACTATTGTGCAACCTATTCAGCTCTCACCATGTTACTGGACGTTTCCCTCATCCTATACGAAAACAACAATTAGCAACATTCTCACATACTACTGTAAGTTGAGTCAATTTAAATTCATTTTACACCTTTGTTGCTACTGTTATCATTGTAATTACAGCTCCTGATGATGATGGCAAAGTCCATTGAAAGCTAGAGAGAATTAAAAAAGTATAAAGAGTCCTCTTTGCTTAAATCTTGTCGAAGTACCCAACAAAAAGCGGAAGCTTTAATTTTTCACCTATATATATATATATATATATATATATATATATATATATAACTTGCGACGTGGTCATTGTCGCCTAGACCAGTTAGGTGAAAAATTAGAGCTTCCGCCTTTTGTTGGGGACAAAATTTAAGCAAAGAGGACTCTTTATACTTTTTTTAATTCTCTCTAGCTTTCAATGGACTTTGCCATCATCATCAGGAGCTGCAATTACAATGATAACAGTAGCAACAAAAGTGTAAAATGAATTTAAATTGAATCAACTTACAGTAGTATGTGAGGATGTTGCTAATTGTTGTTTTCGTATAGTATGAGGGAAACGTCCAGTAACATGGTGAGAGCTGGATACATGGTACAAATTATATAAAATATGACAAGATAAGTCAAAGACAGATTAAAAATTATTTAGAAAACATTAGAGCATTACGTCGTGAAGCCACTTGATGATTGCACATGGTGGTCATGGAATAATGAGTGAGATGAACCTTTGACAGAAGGCCGAAGGTTGTCAATGTCTGTGTTGAAAGATGGAACGAATTGTGGGCGTGTGCCAAAACGTTGCCAAGTCACTTCAGATGATGTGATTTTCAGAATGTTATGTAAGAAATTGTTAAACCGACCAGAGGCAGTTGAATAAACTATAATTTAATTGATGGGAATTTTAAATTAATAATTGTTAATAAATCGTAAGAAGAGAATTATTAGATTTTGAGTGGAATGAAATTTGTTGCTGGAATCGGCCAAAACACAGATTATATTTATGGTTGTGAAAAGTCGAAATTTGAGGAGATATGTTAACACAACAGGGCATTCTATGAATTACACAAGTATCAAAGTTCTTGATAAAGAAAAACCCCTTTCCAAACGTTTATTCCTGGAAATGTCCCACATTTTCATGAATAACAACTGTATCAACAAAAAGACAGATATCAAACAACTGAGTGTCATTTACTCATATTTGCTAAACTGTGAAAAATTGGAGAAATTACATATCTCCCCAAATTTCGACTTTTCACAACCATAAATATAATCTGTGCTTTGGCCGATTCCACCAACAAATTTCATTCCACTCAAAATCTAATAATTCTCTTCTCACGATTTATTAATAATTATTAATTTAAAATTCCCATTAATTAAAATATAGTTTATTCAACTGCCTCTGGTCGGTTTAACAATTTCTTACATAACATTCTGAAAATCACATCATCTGAAGTGATTTGGCAACGTTTTGGCACACGCCCACAATTCGTTCCATCTTTCAACACAGACATTGACAACCTTCGGCCTTCTGTCAAAGGTTCATCTCACTCATTATTCCATGACCACCATTTTGTGCAATTATCAAGTGGCTTCACGACGTAATGCTCTCATGTTTTCTAAATAATTTTTAATCTGTCTTTGACTTGTCTTGTCATATTTTATATAATTTTAACCGTTGTACCATGTATCCAGCTCTCACCATGTTACTGGACGTTTCCCTCATACTATACGAAAACAACAATTAGCAACATCCTCACATACTACTGTAAGTTGATTCAATTTAAATCCATTTTACACTTTTGTTGCTACTGTTATCATTGTAATTGCAGCTCCTGATGCTGATGGCAAAGTCCATTGAAAGCTAGAGAGAATTAAAAAAGTATAAAGAGTCGTCTTTGCTTAAATTTTGTCGAAGTACCCAACAAAAGGAGGAAGCTTTAATTTTTCACCTATATATATATACAATTAATTGGGAAATTGGCAAATTTTTAGGCTTAAGTTGACTCTTTTGACGATAAAATCAAGTTTTTGGCATTCTCTATGGAGCCTTCATCAGGATTTCGTATAGCGGAAGTAGGAGGTTAGAGACTGCATTCCGATTGTTTCCCTAAAATGTCTTCTCATGTTTAATAATTTTTAATATGTTGGGGTGTATTGATATTTTTAACATATAACGAAGGTATCTGTCGTTATCAACAAGCCCAATGTCCCCGTTCTTTTGTTTTTATATTTATTACAAGTTCTATATTCTCTACGTTCGTTTTGAAACACCTTGTGGCTGCAACCTCAACGACGAAATCCTGATGAAGGCTCCATAGAGAATCCCGAAAGCTTGATTTTATCGTCAAAAGAGTCAACTTAATATATATATATATATATATATATATATATATATACAATTAATTGTTAATTGGGAAATTGGCAAACTTTTTAGGCTTTAGTTAACTCTTTTAACGGTAATCTCTAGCTTTCTAAAATTCTCTATGGAGCCTTCATCAGTAGCTGAAAACACAATTATGATGCTAGCAACCAATACGGGAAAGATGTTAAACAACTTAC